TTAACCAATGTCATAAAACAATATGTGTACTGACTGTTTAATGAGAAACTATTTGTTCAGTAAACCTTCATCCAAAATACAATAAAAAAATTTTTTAAAAAAGTACAAAAAAAAGAAGAGAAATAGTTTGCTCTGAGAGATTCTTAAGATTTAAAAAATTAATAATGTAAAGGATCTTAAAAATGAGAAATTATTCATCTAAGCCCCAGAGAAATTGCCATATGACCAGAACATCATAAGTGTTTTAAGTATGAGGAACTTGTTCCTATTGGTATCATGCTACAATTACCATAATTAAAGTTATTATTCAAAAAAATTCTTTTTTATTATCATCCTTATCAAACTCATCTCTCATGCTCTTAGATTTGGGGCTAGGCCTATTCATTGCCTTCCTCTGTGGTTTACTATATCCCTGCACTCCTCTCACCCCATTACTTAGTAATTTCTTCCAACCTCACTTTAATTTTTGGTTTGTTTGGTTTTTTTTCCTCCAACAGGAAAAGAAAAACAAGATGCTTCGGAAGGAAATGGAGATACTATGGAACAAGGTATGCCTCCAAGGATGTCTTGAAAGTATTGCCCTACAGACCATAATGCAAAGAACTTCCCTTTCCTCTGGCCCCTATCCTTATTTTTTCATGTCCCTGCTTCCACCTGTGCCTCATTCCAATTCATTCTTTGCACAGGAGCCAAAGTGATCTTTTTAAAACAATCAAATCGTGTCACTCTTCTGAAGCAAACCCTTATAGCTATTCCTTATTGTGGCATAATCTGCCTCTTCCCACCTCTCCAGCTTTCTCTCATGGCAGTCCTCCTTTTGCATTCTATGCAACCACCACACTGGCCTCTTTTCGTTTTTCAAACATGCCAAGCTCTTTTCTATCTCAAGGCCCTCACTCTTGTTCTACTCTCTGCCTGTAATGCTATTTTCTTATGGCTGGCTCATTCTCATCCTTCAGGTCTCAGTTTAAATGTCACCTCCTCAGAGAGACCCTCCCTGTTCACTTCATCTAAAGTGAAGTATCCTCCATCCTACTTTCTATTATACAACTCTGTTCATGTCACCCATAGCACTTTTCATAATATATGCTTATTACTATTTTTTTTACTTGTTCCTTGTCTCCCTTCCCTGCTCTCCCCTTCCCCCCACCCCAGAACACATTCTCCTCCAGTGATCTTGATTTCTTTGCTCATCTCTGAATCCCTAGAACCTAGCACAATGCTAGGAATCCCTGGGTGGTGCAAATACTTAATGAGCTTGGCTGCTAACCAAAAGGTTGGAAGTTTAGTTTACACAGAGGTGCCTCGGAAGAAAGGCATGGTGATCTACTTCCTAAAAATCAGCCATTGAAAACCCTGTAGAGCACAGTTCTACTCTACCACACATGGGGTCTCCATGAGTTGGAATCAACTCCATGGCAACTGGTTTTAGCAGTTGGTACATAGTAGACAATCAATAAATGTAAGTTGAGTGAATGAATGAATGAATACCTAACTCTAATCCCCCCCTAATTTTTCAACAACTACTGCATTGTTTAAGAAAACAATATTAGGGCCTTCTGCTGGAAAATCAGGAGGAAAAAGCCTTTGTAGGCTAGCCCTTGGGATGGGAGTTCTTTTTCACATACTACGCGACTGAAAGAGCAGACCGTGTATTGTGATATAAACAGGTGTGTGGTGTGATCTCTGACTGCTTTTCATCTCACCTTTCCACAAATAACCAGCATACCATTGAGCCCTGCATTTTGTACTGAGATCTGCTCCCTTAGTTCTCAGTCGCATTTACAAATCAGCTCCACGAATTGCCAGATGTTTTAGATGAGTTCTTGAAACCTTGTGATAAGAAATGTTCCAGCACAGGAGCCAACATGGTGATACAGACAGAAGCACCACGCCGTCCCTCCACAGCAAAGACTCAAAAAACTAAGTAAAAGACAGACAAATGTCAATCCTGGAACCCTAAGTGTCAAATGAAGAGATAAAGAACTCAACCAAGCACTGAATGGAATAAGAAACTGACAGAGAACAGACAGCAAGGAGAGTTAAGAGCGGAGGCCCCCATCAGCTAATGCTGCACAGATCCACCATCTTGGATTCCTGTCAGAGATCAGAGGACAGGGAGTACAGGAAAATGGATTCATGGAGCTCCCAGCAGAAGACAGAGCACCCTGTAACGAGCGAGACATGCTTTCCATTCCCTCACCTTGCATTCCCCTGCTCGGCCTTTGCCACTTCCCAGCTGGCCAATCCGCACCGTCCCAGCGAGCCGTGACCATGGCATGGGAGGTGTTGGTTCCGTGCTGTGAGGATTTGCCCTGCCCACACCAGCCGGCTTCTTCACTGCCATTTCTTTGTTGCTAGTGTTGCTTTTTGGAGCCTCTTTTGGTTTCTTCCCTGCCCCTCACTTCCTCCCCTTCCTTTCTCTTCAACACCTAACTCCATGTGCCATCTTTGCTTCTGAAGCACCACTCAGTTGGGAAACTGCTTCCTCGGTCCACACCTCTATGCTGGTGGGAACCCTAGGGGCTTTTTTTTTGTTTTCTTTTTCTGTTTGTTTGTTGTTTTCTCTGTTTTTTCCTTTTTATTTTTCTTCATTTCTCAGTTTCTTGTCTCTTTCTACTTACCTTCTTTTCCTGTCTCCTGAATACCTGGCACTGTGTATCATCTCCATCCCTTCTAGCCAGGCTGTACTGCGTGGCTTGGGAGCCACTTCCCGAGTCTGCATAGCTGTGCTGGTGGGATCCCTGGGGGCATTTTTTAAAATTTATTATTTTGTTTTATTTTTTACTTTTTGTTTTTCTTCATTTCTCAGTTTCTTGTCTCTCTACTCCAATGGCAGGCTCCTTCAGCACTCTTTTATTCTCCTGTTTCTTCCTCCTCTCTCTCGTCTTTTCCATATCCAACCTAGCTCCACACATCACAACCTCCCCCTCTCCTTCCCTCCTGCATATCTGCCTATCTGCACTGTGTGTTCAACATTGCATTCCCAAGCAGCACAGGCACGGCCTACCAGAACCTGCCCTGAACCGACCCCCAGCTCACATTGTCGGCCCAAGTACGTGCCACAAACTACCCATTCCAGTCCCTCTTCTTCAGCTGAACTGCCCTGATGAAACACAGCTGAGCGACTGGCCCTGCCTATTGCGCAAGGAGGTGAATAATATAGTGTCCACAAATGAGCAAACAACAAAGAACACACAGCCCACCTGCTCAGACATAACCAAATTTAAAAAAAAAAAGAAAGCAGGAAGAAACAAACAACTCTACAATCAATAAATGAAGAAAATAACTAACAAATGTCCCAAAGACAGCAGACAATATCAAAACATATTTTAAAAAAGGACAGTAGGCCTCCAAAGTAAAATACCAGATGACTTTCCAGTAGAAGAAAAGGCACTAAAACTACCTGATAGGGAATTCAAATCTCTAATACTCAGAGCTATCCAAGAGTTGAAGCAAAAAGCAGACAAAAATGAGGAAAAAATAGACAAATTCATGGAAAAGGCAGACAAATTCATG